GGGGCCAACACCCCTCAAAAAAAAAACAAAAACAAAAAAAAAAAAAAAAAGAGAAAGAAAAAAAAAAAGCGTGCATGTGGGAAAGAAGAAAGAAATTAATCAGTCCAGTCAACTATACAAAGTTCAGGAGCAGGGAAATGAAGTTTCACAAAGGAGATTAACAAATACGCACGGTTAAGTTTCCTAAAATTCCACATCTGTACCAGGTCTTGGTTGGCAGTTACTCTCTCTGGCAGGAGTTTAGCTGAAGAGCAGGCTTGATCTGAAAAGTAACTCTGTAAAAGGAAATAAGACTGCAGGAGCCTGCCGCCATGGGGCTGGATCTTTAGCTGATGTACCGCTCGACTCCTCAGTTTCAGAGGGCTTGTGAGGAATCGCAGCACTGGGAAACGCGGCCAGTTGAGCTTTGGTTTCTTTATCTTGGGTGCACTGCTGCACAGCTGTAGGGATGGGAAGGGGACATGGGGGTTACACCTGCTGCAAAGGCTTATTTGGGGAGCTGGAAGTCTGGGTGGGCACATCCTGGCGTATTTGTGCTCCACAGACCAAACGCTGCATTCGTTATACCTAAATACACCTGTCTCTAATGCTCTCTATCACGATACAGATGCTCCTCAGCTTGTGACCTTGGGTGCGCTGGTGTGGGAGACGCAGCAGGAGCAAGCCCAAATGCAGTATTCGAGGGCAGTGGGCTCTGCAGCGGGATATTCAGTCGGTTGTTGCGCTGATGAGGCATGGAGCATAACCGGACCTTTACGGATGACACTTGGAGGGCCTTATTCCCCATATTCACCAGGGCACTGGCTGAAAGGGAGCCAGATCTGCCTTGGTGAGAAACCTCTACATGGGGCAGGCAGCGTGGGGAGGGTGCTGGGGCACAGCTGAGGTTCTGGTGCGGGTGCCAGTGCATTCAGGGAACATGTTCTGAGTGCTTCAGTGTTGTCTTTTGGGACCTCATGGAAACAGATGAGAAGGCAGAGTCACTGCCCCAGCAGCTCCTGATCTAAATAGACCAAGAGATGACAAACTAGAAACGGAAATGTGTTTTATGGCCAAGAAAACGGAAGACCGCGAGGGCCTATTTATGTTTAAAATCCAAGAGGGACAAACCTACTAGACCCTCTTGATATCAGACCAGAGTATCTGCAGGCCTTCAGAACAACCACAAACACGTTTCTCCCTTACAAGGTTCATCATCCTAACATAGAAAGCTCCGGGAGATAAGGCAAAGCTGGGCATACAGTACAGCCTATGCTCCAGGCACACGGAGTAAGTGTTGAGGCAAGAAATGACTTTTTCCTGGCATGACCCACTGCAGATTGAACTGGAATGGCAATTACAAGTTGAAGTGCTCATTTAATGTCAGTGATGTGTAAACTACGTTGCCATTGTTATTTTAGTGCTGATTTACATAATTGGCATACCCTGAAGTCACACTGCACGCACTTTCAGTTCATGCTAAAGACTTGCAGGAAGTCATAAAATTAAACATTATCTGCGCTGGAATGCAACAGAAAAGTAGCTAAACTTTTGAAGGATTTCACCTCGCCCCGTGTCGCCTCTCCCGCCACATGCGCAGTGGCAAGTAAAAATCAGGTTAACAAGTGTCAGGAGCTGTTGGTATGAAGGAACTTTACCCGCTCTTTAATTACGCTCGTGTAGTTCTAAGGTGGTTTGTTACACCGGTATGTAACTCCCCACGTGAGCACCTCATCCTGCACAGCGACGTTTCGCCAGTATGGCTGAAGTCACTCTAGCGTGACAAGAAAGCCAAGAGAAGAAGGTCCACCGGAGGAATTACTCCAGTCCAAAATGTGCTGAATTCCTCCCTCAGATCAGTGGCTTTCCGATGTTGAAAAGTCGTAAAATGGAGGGAAAAGGCCGCTCCCAAAGGAGGAGCTGGTAATGGAGCTGTCTCAGTTGTTATTGCTTTAAATCCTCCTCCGCAGTAATTCAAGGTGTCAAAGGCTGTCTGTGTCTTTTGCAAATGAAGCCCCTAAGAGGTATTTGGAAGAGGAGGTGCAGCACAGGGCACTCACCTTGCTGGGAAGCAGGCTGCACTAGCACTGGGACCCCGGCTAATGACCGATGGCTTTGGCTTTGATGAGGACCCTAAATTGCTAGGTATTGCATACCTATGCAAGAAGGGCCAGGCCCTACTGCAGAGCCCAAGAGGACAAGCAAGAGGGGGGGCAACGGATGCATCCCTAATCCGCGAGTTACCGAATCGCATTGGGATTCAGAGATTTGCCAATCTCAGCAAAGGAAGCAAGGGATGTAGCTGGTATGGGGACCCCAATCCCACCGAGCACGGGGCCTGCTTTTCTTTGCCACTGGCCTCCTCTGTGCCCGTATGCGATGCCGAGTGGTCGAGGCTGCAAAGCTGGGGAGCTGGGACTCGGCCCCGGGGCAGGTGCCCGGAGTGGGAAGCGACGGGCTGGTGGAGAGTTGCTCGGTGATGGGGTTGCCGTTTCGGGACCGGAGATCCTCCATGCATTTCCACCACTGGAGGGCAGCCACATCTTAACAAAAATAAAAAAACCCCAAACCCAACAACTAAAAGCCCAAACCTTCTGCCGTCCGCACGGCCGGCGGGGGCTGAGCCCGCTGCGGGATGCAGGGCAGCAGCCTCCTCCCGAGCCCCGGCGCTTGGCTTTCGGGGGGGAGAAGGGGGAAACCCCTGGGGGTTTCCAGCCCCGCCATCCCGCAGCGAGACCGGGCTCGGGCAGCCCCGCGCCGCTGCGGGTGGGGGTAGGAT